TAGCACGTGATTGGGAGATTTTCATTTCAGATTTCTACTGTAATGACATTATTGGCCCACTTCCGCTTATTTTTAAACAGCTGCTGTTTTTAAGTTATTCGATCGTTTACCGGCATTACTGGAAAAAGATTTGGATACGGGATCCGGGCAGGATCGGAGAAAGCAGTATATAAGTTTGGCCCTGAAGTGGACAATGGCTGTGGCGGAGAAGCGATCTCATCAACGACGAGGCCATCCGGCTCTCCATCGGTGCGCACTCCAGGCAAAAATTTTCCTTCATTTCCTGAAATTTGCCTTCATTTTTTTTGCTTCTCAGTTTTATTTCCATCAAAACCAGAGATTTTCAGGCGCATAGCAAAATCGCTGTGGCATGAAGGGAATTATGCTGTGGCCAGAAATCATTTTATGCATTCGGACGATATGGAGGTTTGTCACATCTAATCATATATTTGAAGAGCTTTTTATCTAGGTGCTTTCTTGACACGTGTTGTATGTGCCAGAGCGTGGATTTTTCAAGGAAGTATTTTATAAGGAGTTGTGGTAATGGTAAGGAATGTATACTACTATTAATGGATCGAAACATTTCTTACCATTAAAATAATTCTATTAATTTACAAATTTTTTGTAATTCTCATCTCTTAACTTCCTTTTTGTTCCTCTCTTTTCATCCGTTGTTAATATACCATCCTCTTGCTATGATTGATATGGGAGTGAAAACGAATTAGTGTCGTGACACAGCGGCTGATAGCTCAAAGCATGCCGAAAAGAAGCGAGCCTGAGTTCCGTGTGTGTGTATGTGCGTGTGTGTGTGCGTGTGCGTGTGTGTGCATGTGCGTGTGTGTGTGCATGTGTGTATGTTGTGTGTGTGTGTGTTTGTTTGTTTGACCTCGATTTACGACGGCGGGTCGACAAGTGGTCTGAATGGCTGTGATGACTTATAGTCGTGATTTTTTTTTGCTCTAAATTGTTTTGTTTTCCAGAGTTTTGCGACATTCCTCGTTCAATATCAGCAGAAATTTGGTTATAATAGCGAAAAAGATTTATTTATAGCGCAAGCTTTTTTGCAGGTTGATTTTCTTCGTTCTTTTTGAAGAATGGTAAAAATGCGTTGCGTGTTCGGAAATGTTTGGCTTGAGTTAACGAGGGATGATCAGTTTCAGAAATATTTTAAATGTGGCGGAATTTTTCGGTCTTTTAAATCATTTATGTTCTTTCTAAAATCACATCTGGACGTGATTATTTTACTGATTTTTGTTTTTAGCTCAAAAAAGTAATATAAAACAATAAGGTACATTTTTCAAACAGGACGGGTAACCACACATTTACAGCACTTTCAGGTTCTCGAGTTAGCAACTTAAGAAGAACTTTGGTGAGCGCGTGCGTGGGTACCACACATACTTGAGGGCTGGGTTTGGACTCATTAATACCTACTTAGGCAGGGAACATCCTCTTAAAATTTCAGCCTTCTAGCTTTTCAGGTTCCCGAGTTAACAGTTTGCCCGAATAAAGTTTTGGCAGGCCCGCACGTGGGCACCACGCGGTTAAGAGCGCCCATTTCGGAGATGGGGCCCGTACACGCATGTGGACTAGGTTCCCCAAGTTCCAGCTCTGTAGCTTTTATGGGTCTCGAGATGAGAAATCGGTACAGACGCACAGCACACACACAGGTACACACACAAACACACACACAGACAACTTCTCGTCAGTATGCGTTTTCTGCATTGCATAGCTGCAAAAAACGCGTAAAAAACCTCATGGTGGATGAAGAGCTGATTACGGAGCTGATATGGTAGGTAAATAAAAAGTTAATCTTTCCAAATAAAGGAAAAATTTCGAAAAAATTAGGCAAAAACGAAGCAAAGGTCAAATAAAAAAGGGAATGAGGATTTGCCTTATCCATCTTCTTCCTCTTCTGACCATAACTTTTATTCTGGAATATCTTTCAGTGCGTCCAAAAATTCTACCTGGTCTTTTAAATGCTAATGGAATTTAACTCAGTTTTTGTTTTTTATGAAGCAAAAAAAAAAGAACTGCTTTCGTTTTATAGCTATGAAGCATGCTGAGCTACTGAAGAAAAACACACATACACATATGTACAATTTTAAAATATGACTAAGATGCGCTAAGGCCTGGTTTTTTAGCGTCTCCTTCCAGTGGCGGCATAGCTTTGATCTGTAAAACTCTAGGGCTTCTCACAAAACTGCTTTTTATAAGGATTAA